CCTCTCCCTTCTTAAATGGGATGGATTATATCCAAATACATTGTTACCATTCTTCTCACTCAAACTGACTTTATACTTGTCATACTTTAATGGGCAGGTCTGTGCTCTGCAAGAGATGCAAATAGTTTTGTTTGCAGGTTTTCAATAATCATATGTTTCATGATTAATGAAGCCTCTTTCGAGCCTCTAACAGCCTTCTGCAGCTGATTGTAGAATTGTTGAGGAGTCTAAAAAAAGTAATCTCACTCATATACTATCTTTAACTAATCCTGTAAAATTTTATTCATTGTTTGTGACAAGACTTGCTATTACTCTGCGTGCAGCAAGGAGTTGATCAAGCATTGTACAAGCTGTTGGGGATGTCACAAAGGTCACCATCAGCACTTCTAACGGAGTGAGTGCTTGCCAAGGATAACAGAAGAAACCATTTCCCCATTTACAGGTTTGCCAAGACAGAGTTCCAGTCCATTCCCAGGGTGAAAGGCTGCAGTTTAAAACACTATTATTCCTTCATTACATTTTCAGTGTATAACTACCAAACATAATTCTAAATCAATCAATAAAATAGTGTGCTTCTGGCTCTACTACCCTCTCACAAACAGGATGTCAGCTCTTCCACTGCTTGAAGTATAGTCATTTCCCATGCTCTGTTCTTCATGTTTAAACATAGAAAACAAAAATATCCAAAAGTCCAATGTTTTGTTCAGCCCACAGTGCATCAGGTATTCTAACACCAGGCTTTCTGAAACTGTATCTTCTGTTGGGTTTGTTTGGGATTTTTGGTGTTGATGATTTTGGTTTTTTTAATATTATAACTTAGACCCGGAGAATTCCTCCTGTCCTAGCACGAACAGCACTCTCTACACAAATGATGTGCCAGAAAATTGTGTCCAATCTCTCAAAGCATTCTTCACATTCTACACGCCATTCTTAAATTTTGCCACTTAGCCATGTGAAATTGCATTATTTAATTACAGAGCCTCAGAAATATTGCTGCTTTAATCCAATCACAAACAGATTTGAAGGGAAAATTATATACCAGGAGATAGGAAAAAAATGATGTGATCTCTTAGCAAGTCTGATCTCTGTTGATCACTTCACTACAAACAAGGACAGGTTAGCATGTGGAAACCAGGAAAAATGTAAGGGTCCAATCAAAGCTAGTTTTTACCACTTATAAGAGCCATCCAAGTAATAAAAAAGGGAACAAACCTTGAACATTTTCTTGCACTGCATTACTGCAAATCAATAAATAAAATCTTCTATAGATTAGCACTGGTTAGACCAAAACAATGAGGGATTCGGTAGCATGCGAGAGAGTGCCCTTCAGATTAAATGACAATTTGGAAGTGTTTAACAACATATGGTCTCTTTTCTTTGACATATACGATTAAGAATATATCATTTTTATATAAAAATATAAAATACCATCTGTCATAAGTTCCAACCATGATACTGCCTCTATATATCCAATTAATTCACTATACTTTCTAGTGTAAATATTTCTCCTATTTTTTCATTTTTCTTTTTCTGTAACTATATTTATTTATAAAATTTCAATAAATGTATATATTTAAAAAGTCAATACTATGACTTGAAATGTAATTAGGAATAACAATGAAAGTCTGTTTCACTTTCTATTTCAAAGAAGGGCCAAATCTTCAAGTGGTTTGAAATGCCATTGCTCATTTAAATCAGTGGGTATAGGCATATTATAAAGATTAAACTATGTTGTTTTTCCTTATTATACACATCAACCCAGAGAAATACTCACTTTTCACAAATAAATACTTGTGTTTCTTTCTTTTTTCAGAAATGCAGGGTACTTTAAAGACACATGACTGCAGAATGAGAACCCAAATATAATGGGTATTGCTCCTTAAGGTGTCAGAATTCTAGTGAATATGGAGGAATAAATGGATTGCTCTCAAAACCATGGCAAAAACCAGCAAAATACATAATGCATTTCAATCCACTGAATTAATACTTGGCCTCATTAATTTAATCCAAAAGAAAAATCTTTGACCACATAATTATTACAATGACTTCTGAGAACATTAAGACATGTACAAGTCTCAAAGTACAGTCTTAAGACTATAGGAGCTAAGCTTTGCCAGGGTAAAAGAGGAAGGACTGTAACAGCCTGTTTGAAGCAGGGTGCAAGATTTCTTCTGTTTGAGACAAGCATACCCAGATAAACATATACATACATACAGACACACATATGTTTTACTCTTTGTTTCTGAGTAATTTGGTTGTGAGTGCACCAATAAATTATGCTAATAGGTTTAAGTAACGTGAGAAAGAAATTACTGACCCACAATTTAAACCACGTTTTAAATCTTTAGCTTTTAAAGAATCTTTTGGAAATTTTGACTCTTGAGATTCCCTCAGCCTAGCCCAAAAACAAAATGGAAGAGAAAATTATTTTGCTTTTCAAAAACATTGCCCCTCTTAAAAAGCAGAATACCATATAATGGTAATTCCCTTTCTCTTTCTTGGGATTAATTTATACTTCATGGTATAAAAAACCTAAGATTTCTGTGTCTGCTGCAGTGTTGTAGAAGTGGTGACTATAGCTGTCTGAGGTTATTCCCATGTAATTTACAATTTAGTACCTTTTCACCTGCTTCTTGTAGTTGGTCTATGAGCAGAAAATGCTGATCATCTTCTAATATTAGATTCTTGGTCTTTAAAGGAGCTTTCAAATAAACCATGACACTCTTCTTGGTCATTCATGGCAGAAACTCTGTAGAGTCCTAATAAATTGCTTGTGTAGGTTCTTAAGCTGTCCCAATACTTCCTAAAATACTTGCAGTATTTCAGTAACTACGTATAAATCAACTTCTAAGAATTTTTATTGCGTTATGTGTAATAAGTTCACAAGGGATACTGAGATCTCTAACTTGTTCACGTGCTGTCGGGTAATGTACTCCTTTGGCTTTGTGTTTTCCTCTTTTAATTTACAACAGAGTTTTTGCTCCAGGGTTAACATAAGGGTAATAGAAATTCCAATTTGCTTCTCTGTTTGCACCATTCATCAGCATGTATGCTTTAATGTAATTATGTCCCTATTGTTTGGCCACAATTCCCATGCTTCTCCATTTCTGCTTGTGCTGATTTTACACATATGGTCACTCATATTTCTCTTCTCTAAATCCTCGTATTTTCTATAACACTGTTTTTGAGAGGAGTGCATGTGATACTGTTCCTATTACAGTAATCATTGTTTTATTGATTTGATGACTCAGTTGTTGGTTCTTCTGCCATCCTATGGCGTCGTTGCTTCAGCACTGGTGGCATTGGGCTGCAAAGGGACGAAATTAACCCGCAGCACTTTACAGCAAAGCAGACCACGACGTTCGACTTCGGCCCGTTCCACCCACAGGCCGCGCCCCTCGGAGCTCTCCACGCTCAGAAGCTCCTCCCTGCCGGCCGCGGGGCCGGAAGCCGCTGCCGGGTGCCCTGTGAACCGGGAAGGGCTCGGTTTGAATGAGATCCGGCTGATTCACCGCGGCCCGTGCGGCTCTGGCCCAGGTGAGGGCCCGGCCGCCTCCGCGCCAGGGTGCTGAGGGGCCCCGCGGCGGCCTCTGCGCGGCGGCGGCCTCTGCGCGGCCCGGGAGTCGGCCCGAGCGCCGGGCAGGGCCGCGAGCGGTGCGGACGGGAGCGGGACGGGGCGGGTCTGGCGGGCAGGGATCGCGCTGGGCCCCTGGCCTTTCCGCTGGGAAGTCCGAGCGCTTCGGGGTAGCGGGGACAGCTGCGAACGGGCTGGGGAGAGGCGGCGAGAGGGGCCGGGGAACGGCGCCGGGCGGGGGTCCAGCCGCTGGAGCCGGACGGGCCTCGGCGCCGCACGGGCCTCAGGGCCCGGCCGCCTCCGCCCGGCCCGCTGCGGCCGCCCTGGTTCGGCAGCGCCCGGCGCGGGTTCGTGCTGCGGGCAGAGCGGGGCTCTGTGCTCTGTGCCCTGCCAGAGGCACCTCACGGGCGGCAGCGCTGCTGCTCCCGAGGTGCAGTATTGCCCCGATCCCCGGCAGTGCAGCTGAAGTTAGAGGGGCACGGGGGGAAGTGGAGGCAAAGCACTGGTTGGGATACCTGAAGGGGGAAGAAGCAGAATTAAGTAGAGAAGAAGCAATAATCAAAAATTAACAGCGCTGTTTCTAGTATGCAGCTGACTTAAGTAATGTTTGTGTAACAAATTTGTGTCATGTAGTTGGATACTTGTAAACAGTGTGGTGGCGTCATGTCTTAAAGTTGCAGTTGTTTTCTGTATGCCGTGGAAAAACAGAAAGCCAACAGGGATTGAGATTTTCTTTTTAAAAAGAAGTTTTATGTAAATATATCTCAAAGCTATATAGAACTGAAATGGTACTAGGCAAGCTGAAAAGTCTGATAGATTTGTGTTCATCTAAAAGCTGTCAGCCCTGGGAGTCCAAGATGTCCTGTATGCCTCAGGTGGGGAGTAAACTTGGAAGAAGATTCTGTGGAGCAGAGCATTCACTGTTTCTGACCATATTGAGACAATGAAAAATATCTATTTGTGAAGAAATTCAGAAATTGGCTAGCATATAAATTGCTTCTGAACCACTTAGTGTGACATGAATGGCAGGGTTTAACCTGTAGCTTAGTGGGAAATGGTGAGTTCCATCATCTGTTGTAACATGCCATTTCAGTGATACTCATTTGAAAACTATGATTTAGAACATTGTAAGTTAGTGAATACTTTAAAAATAGTATTAAATAATACCAGCATATAAATCAGTTTGTAAATAATACCAGTATATAAATTAGTTTGCCAACTTTCTTGGAAGTGATTCACTCCTGACAAAAATTTTGGAGTATAAACTAGTGGTTCCTGTAAGTACCTTGTAACATCTAGGATGATGGGATAGGGCAGGTGTTAAGGACACTGAATAATAGACAGCTGGTATGATGAGTACGTGCTGGACTACTGCATAGTTCCACAATAGTTGTGTGTCCGCTTGCCTTTCTGCAGAATTCAGAGAAAGCCATTACTTCATGTACTGCATAAAATTAAAATTATTTCTGTTGGTTTCTATGGCGGTGCAGTTGTTAATGAAACTTTGCTTATCTGTAAGTTTTATGTGAATGTACTTCAGTAGCTTTAAAGCAGTTTGAATCTGTGTTACTGAAGTAACTCCAGCTCAGCAATGAATGTAGTAGAATTAGGTTTGCTGTACTTTTGGAAGTCAGACAGCAGAGCCTGGGAAGCTGACCTGCAAACCACCTAATCCAGCTTGGGTCTACTGAGATTCAGGTCTGTATGGAATAGGGCCTGGGTTTACAGAGCTGAGCACATTATGGAAGCAAAGCAAGAGTCATGTAACTCTGGGCTTGCACTACTGAGACTGCATTCATGCATAACATGATTAAACTCAAGCTTTAATGAACAGATTACTTAGAATTGATGGTAACATGTATATTTTTTTCTTCTTTTCCTACAAAATATATAGGAAGATAGACTAGCCTACCCCCTCCTCCACCTTTTCACATGTGAAGTCTCTGTTCAGGTCTGATGACTTTAACTGCAATGAGTTTTTTTTCTTGGTGAAATAACATTTTTCTGCAATGTGCACTTTCTCAGCTGATTTACCTCTCTAACTGTTTATCATCCCAAGTGAAGCTGAAATGGTTGCAGTTGCACAAAAAACCTTGAGCCATTTCTGAGCACTGTTAATAAAATTGTTTATCATCTGCTGTGTGTAACTCCTCAATAGGAGATGTGGAAGTGCTTGTACAAAGCTTGTTGTGTAGTCTCAGGTGGAGAAACTGAGTTACCGAAGATGAAATGATTTGCATCAAGTCTCTCAGTGTACAAATTGCAAAGTAAATTGCTGTCACCTGTGTGTAGCCTGATACTCCCTCCACTAATAGGGCAGTTTAGTAGCCATTGTTTTCTATGTATGTCAAAGCTGATTTTGATATTTATTTCTCTACTAACTCAGAAGTTGCCAAACCAGGAGAGCCCTCTTTCATTGAGGGATCACATCGTGGAGTGTTAATGCTAGATAAAAATAGTGCACTGTAGTGTGAAACTCATGTGTCTCATGCAAGGAGATAGAGTAATTTAAGACTGTTTCAAGTTGATTTCAAAATACATGCTGCAACATGCCAAGTATAAACACAGTAGCTATTGGTTTATAGCTATATGTGCATACACATTTGTGCATGATCTTTTTATATAACTTCATCCCTATGCTACCTAAGAAAAAATGTTTTCATTATTAAAAGTCTGAATTTAAGTGACTAGAAGATACCAATGAACAACTGAGTGGTGAACCAGAGCTCTCCAAATGGGCAACTCTTTCCAATTATTACAGTTACCTAACAGCAGTATTAGGAGCAAATATTAGACATGGGTTTTAAAATTTCTGTTTCCCGATCAGTTTTGAGATGCTGTCTGTATACTCTCACTGCATTATTAGTATTAACTATTTTTCCCTTTTGAGGTAATTAAATAAAAATTGCAGTAATGGAAGTCTGGATTTTTAAACAACATCCAATGACCAAGCTTATTTTAGTTATGGTGTTTTGAATCATGGACACATATACACAGAGAAGCTATTTAATTCTTTTTTTTAACCATTAGTTACTGTATTAATTTCAGCGATGAGTGCATGTCATCCAAATCCCGCAATGCACCAAAATGCAAGTTAATTATGATAATTGTCCTTCTGTATTTTTTCTGATACAGAACTATTTGATACAGTTACTTCCTTAAAGTTACACTTTAAACAGAGACTGTTAACTCTTCCTTACAGATAGAAGGAAACAATCAAAATACCTTTTGCCAACTTTGGAAGGAAAAGAGGTGAGATTTACTGTGAACTGTTTGTTTACTTTTCTGGCTTTTTTTTGTATGTATATATAATGTAAGTATATGTGTGTGTGCAAGAATATAGGGTAAAACCAACAGAGAAGTTGCTAATCAGCCTAGCTTTTTGCACTTTGTTGCACAGATAAGATTCTCAGCTGTAGGTTACCTTTTGTGCCTCACTGGGGAACAGACCAAGCTCACAGAGATTTGTTTCTTTCATGTCTTTGTAGTTAGTGGGGAAGGGAATGCAAGACCTCTGGGTGGTCAGGTAGCTAAAGGTGAATAACCCAGGCCCAGTTGAAATAGTAGCTGCAGTTCTGCTGTAGCCTGTGCTACTGGCTCTTGTGGTCTCTCCTGGATCATTTCCTTCTGCAAAGCTGGCAGGAGGATGACTTTCCATTCCACTTGTCAGTGATTTCCACTGTCAGCACTGAGAAACTCTGACTTGCTCTTTCTCTTCCAACTTTCTGGGAAGGTGAACACATCCTCCTTTGCTCTTGTGCTACTTTGAGATAAGCTTCAAAAGGGTCTCTGTTAAATTGCCACAGTTAGTAAAAAACAAAAAAATCCCCCCCACCCAAACAAAAAACTGAAACAAACCCCCAAAACCCACAAACATTCTTTGAGCAGCTTTAGCTTAAAGAATGATTTGACAGAAATGTCTTCTGGAGCCTGTATTAGTGTTAAAAGCAATCAGCTTTTCCAAGACCTCTTTTTCTGTTATGCCAAGACAACTATTTCTGGGATGCAACGTGAAGCCTCTCAGAGAAGTGAACAGGGTTAAACCCAGCGTTTTTGATAGCCTCTCAGTTTGCTGCAGGGCTGCACAAATGGCTGTCCTGGCAGTACTGAGAAAGCAGCATCAAGTTGGTGAGCAGCAGCAGCTTCCTCATTGCTCCTTATGTTAACACTGACATTGAAAAAAAGTCTATCAAATCACAGCCACAGATCATTTCACAGATCTGTTTCAAAACACTGCTCTATGAATGATTGAGTGGAGGCAATTAATGGGCAGTCTTCTCAGGGAAGAGGATAACATGAATTTTAACTCCTAAATTGAATGTGAAGCAGCCTTTCTCTACCTGAATTTGGGCAAATCTAAAGATCTTTGTCACTTTTCCAGTCACACCAACCACTCCTGCAGAAATAAACAGGAAAGCTTTCTGTACCTGCAGACTGCTCTTACCCTTGGTGCTTAGGGCATCTTAGCTACAGCAAGAGCTTCAAAAATAGTAAAAAAACACCATGGTTTCAGTTTCTAACAGCATTTAAAATGATCAGTTAGCTTTAAATTGCTTAAATGAATTATTAAAATATTTTGGGAATTTAATATTTAAAATGTTGAGAAAATTGGAAGCTTCTTGCAGGATTATGGATACTTGAGTGAGACATGGCTTGTACCACTTCTAGGAATTGTATGGTAAAGGGGAAAAAAAAAAGCCCAGTAAACATTCTTTGGGTTATTCTTCAATGGTGCCTTGTCCTTTTTCAGCTTATCAATGTAACATTTCCTTTTTACATGTGCCATGGTTTCTAAATTTTACTAGGTTTCTGCCTTTCTCCTTTCTATTTCCTTCTACAGGAAAGAGACCTACTGGTGTCATCTTTACAGTCAAAAAGTGGGAGCAGCTGCCAAGTTTGTTCTGTGAGCACCTCTTGCTGAGCACCAGGTCAGAAATGTATATTTGTTTTATTTGTAAAGGCTAAAGTTAGCTTCATTAATGTCTAAAAATTTCCCTTAAGCTGTTGTAAGGCTAACAAAAGCATTGTTGGAGAAATGGAATTTATAGGTGAAATAATATTTAGATGGATTAATAAAAATTAAAATCTGTTTTGGTGAATGTATTTCATTAACTTAAATTTTTCAGATGTTTACACATCTCAGTAAACAAACATGTTTAGGTCCATATAGACTATAGCCTACTAAAACATATTCAGTTACAAATAGGCAGGTAAAGCATTAGCTGCCAAAACTGTAACCAGAATCTTGTCATGGAGCTAGTGAAATAATTTGCAGTGCATCTAGAACTGTGTTTTGGAGATTTTCTGTCTGTTCTGCTGTCTTGAAAATCTGAATATCTCAGTTCAGTGGCTGTTCTGTGGGAAATGTTAGGTGTCTGTAATAAATTGAGATGTTGTTGTAAAGTTATGCTGATAAGTAGTCAGTTTGTTTAACACTTTTATCTAATCCAACTCTGATATGGCAAAATATATGGCTTTTATAAATGATGTACTATACTGTTGGGTTAGAAACTGGAGTAAACTGTGTAAATGAACTATTAATTAGTATGAGCTATTGCTTTTCCCTTCTTTTAAAGGATTTGTTATTTATTTATTATTTCTTAAATGTACATAGGTAATGTACCTCATCAGTTGATGGAAGTTGCTGTAATTGTCAGAACTATCAGTTTTAGGGTTACCAGTGTAGAGACCAGAAGTTTCTTAAAATAAATGAACAGCCATGATGGATTAAAATAATAGTTTGAGGACCTTAAACATACTTCTCAGTTACTCTTCAGCCCTCTTTAGTGACACAGAAGATGAATCATTGTGAGTTTCAATGGAGGAGTATCTACCACAGAGGAGTAACATGAACTGTAGTTGGCGTTAATTTGTGGTAACATTGTGACTGTTTTATTGAAGCCATTTAACATATGCTTACATAATATCTTTAAACAGCAACTTAACCTTTCCAAGGAAATCCTCCAACTTGATTTGGAATTTATTGTAGTTCAGGATAGAAAAGCATATACACTGTGTGCAGCTTTTGCCTCTAAAAAAGAAGCTTGGTGTCAATGACTTACTGAAGAAGTTAAGCGTAACCACTGACCCTTTAATAAACTCCTTTTTGATTTATATGGTGCCAGTGGAGTTTTAAGAAAGTACTTACTGCTAGGTGAGGCTGCACTTGTTGGATTTGCAGGTTCTACAAAATCAAGAGAGTGAATCCTATTAAATGAATAGCCTGATAGTTCACTGAACTGGGAAAGTGAATTTAACAAGTCAGGCAGGTATTTCTGATCAATGTATCTTGGCTATTGTTAAGTTATTGAAGTAGGAAGAAAAATGCTGCTTCTTTATGTTTAGCAGCTTAAACTATTTGTTTTAACCTTATACTGAAATAAAACTTGTTGGTCTTTAGCCAGTAAGAATTCTAGCAAATATCAGAAGAAGTTATGAAAATGATGGTGACATTCACCTTCAGCATGAAGATTTTTTCATATACAAAGCAAATATATTTTTCAAGTTCTTTTGCATAATTATTTCAAAAGAAGGCTATTAAATAAGTATTGTTAATGTAATCTGAACTCATGTATGTAATTATGTGTAACGTGACATCTGCTTGGAGGATGAATGTATTTTGGAAATCATATTTGGTGTTCTCAATTGCTTTCAAAGCCTGAACAGGCTTCGTTGTGTTGTATTAAAACTTCTCCAGTTAAGACCATAATTTTTGATGCTGTGCTTTGTATCTTCTATTTCACCAATAAAATAAGCTAGTAAAATTTTCTGATTTTGGCTACAAATGCACCTTGGAAATTGCTTGATTTGATGAAAACAGCTGTTTAAAAATTAATATTTAGTAGGCCTTTTAAAAATTTTATGGATAAGTTTTGTTGTATAGAGCTAAGAAGTTGAAAAAGCCAAGTGGTAAAGTTCTGTTAAAGCTTCGGCAGAACCTGTACCTAGGTATCCACCATGAAATTGTAGATGTCTTTTCAACAACAGAAAATGAAGAAACTGTAGAGAAAGAAACAGCAGTGTAATTTTTTTGGTTGGGCACCTTAGCAGCCTTTATTCCTGGGGATCACCCCCTTGAAAGTTACAAGACACACAAACTGATGCTTTTTATTTTTTTTTAAGGAAGACGTTTCATTGATTGGAATAATCTTGCACTAAAGCACTGACACATGCAAGACTGGGAATGTATTAAATGACTGTACTGTCACTAGTCTTCTAACTATATACACATTAAATGTTTACTTTACAGTATTTCTTTTAGTATAATGAGTTCATTAAAAAAAAGCTTTTGATGCTAATTCAGAGATCCATAATCTGCTTAGTGTCTTTCACATGTAGTTTTGATGATAACTGACAAGCTGTAAGTTAATTAGCACGGAACTTACTAATGAGGATGCTAAAATCCTTACTTTAAGATTTTTATTGATGATTTCTGAGCAAACGACAGTAAATTCAGTCGTATATCTAATAAGTTTTAGGAACTTTCTGGCTGTAGGTACTGATCATAAGTAACAAAAATCCCCCAATTAATTGACTGATTGGAAAGTTTTGAGAAGTTTGACAAGAGTGTTCATCTTCAGAAATGGGGATAACCCAAAACCAAAGCAATAAAGCAAAGTCTGTTAATTAGCATGGAAGACAGCTTCTTGAATTAATATGTGGTGTTAATTAACAGGAAGTCTGATGTTGTGTTGTAATTACCACCAATATTTTTGACATACTGAGTGACTGAAGGTGAATTATATAGATAACAATTTAGTAAACATTTCGAGCTTGGGAACATTTTTCCTTTGTTTCTGTTTTTCTAGAAATATGGATAGACTTCTGCGACTGGGAGGAGGTATGCCTGGGCTGGGACAGGTTAGTATATAGCTTGTCAATCTTTTCTTTAAAATTAATAAATTCTGGAGTGTTTCTTCTATTATGCTATCATATTTTAAAACAGCATCAAAGAAACATTGTTCATAGTAATAATCTCTGACTCAAGAGATTTTATATGTGTATGCATATTTTTGTTACAACCTGGCCTTTTTTTTTTGTGAATCAGTATGTGTGTTGGCACTAAGTTTACAGAATGTCTATAAACCTTTTTTTTTGTGTCTGAGCATTTTAAAATTCATATTGAAAAGCATTGGAAACACATAATACATTTTTTTAAAAAACAGTTTCCAATAATATGGATTTCCAGTACATGAAGGGTATTTATTGTAAATGGCCGAGCACATCCACTGCTCTTTATAAATAACATATTTCAGCTCTTGGATCGCATTGGGAATGGGGCATTATAAGATACTGAAGTGTATGTACATTTCAGGAGGTAATTTGAATTGAGTTTATCACTTGTGGGTAGTTGTAGCTTCCTGTATGTGTGTTTTATTGTGTCTGCTCTTGTCGATTGTTCTCACTTTTGTAACTACTCATGGCAAGAAGGCCTCCCTGACAGCTGTCCTGTTCTAGTGAGAGACCTATTCACATTGTATGGCTTCTCCTACCTCTACAGCAAGTCCTAGTGCTTTTTTCCTTGATCAACTGACATGGCCAGCAGTCTTCAAAAATAAAATCAAGTTGATCTTGTTACATTCTGCTGATCGCTGTGGATACAGGGGGAAAATAATTAGGAATGTCTTTGTTTGAGGTCTGTAGGAAGAATTATTTCCTTAAGGAATTGGTTCCAGTCTCATTTCCTTTGTAGTCCTTTCCTTTGATTGGCTGCAGTAGCTTCCTGGTCTCTTTCTAAGTCGAGAATCCAGACTCTTGTACTGGAGGAATCAGTTCTGTATGTCTTGGGCTTCAGGATGTGTGTCCAGGGTTGAAATTGCTAAACCCAAAGCTTCTTTTGGTTGTATATATTGTGTTTGTGTCCAGCACAACTACAGGAGTAGTTTAATACTGAAGCATTTGGTGAAATATTCTAGGCTGATCTACAGACTCTAAATGTTTTGCCAAATAAGCTGTAACTTTTGGTGCATAATTTTTTTTCCCCTTTTTATAGCTAAAATTCTATTCACGTTCTCTTAGTGAATCTTCAAGCCGCCCTCAGTTATTTTTAGTTTCACTTTCTTAAACAGTTATTTCTCTTGTTCCTCTGAGCTGCCAGCCTGCTTCATGACTCTTCATTTTTTTAACATCTGTGCAGTCTAATCTCTCAAGCTTTCACTTCTTAGTCCTCTCTGAACTTGACGCTTATCAAAGCTGTTTTTCAAATTTACTGTTAACTCTCTGCTGTTTTCTGAATTTTTCATCTTTAACTTGAAGCTTGCTAGAAAATTGTGGCAGACAATAGAACATAACATTCTGAGGAAGCTTGCTGAACTCCTCTGGTAGCTTTGGCCTGCAAAGCTGCTCTGTGTTTGTTTAAATATGGAATTGTCTCTTAAATGAGTTGATGAGTATATGTTAGATTGAAAAAAAAAGCATAAAACTGAATTGCTCTTTACTCAAGTTGCTGCTTGCACTAGATATCTTGACTACATTTGTAGTCTTTTGGTTTATTGAATCAGCAGGAAGGCTTTTCAAATAGGATATTTTTATGTCCTTAAAATAATGTGTTTCAAAGGACCTTGAAAAGTCACTTTATATTCTGAGTATCTATTGATGATAATTGAGATTGAGAGAAAATCCAGAGTGAATCAGATGTCTTTGAGATAGAAGAGAGGAGGAAGATATTTCTTGGATATATTTTGTAATGCTAGAAAGCAAAATTATTACCATTTGTTTGTACTAGAGTGTTTTAAGCAACAGAACTTTTTGTTCTTATTGCTGTGTCACAGTTGTTGTAAAGGTTGAATATAGTAAAAACATCTGACTGAGCCATTCTTCCCAGCATAAGAATCATCTGTATATATAGTCTGGTAGAAAAAGAGGCATTTTCAAAGTAATTTTATCCCATAGTTTGGAGATTGCTTTTTCTTGTAGCTTGGGATCTGCTTAGCAAGAGGAATGCATCACATAAAGTCTGCTAAGGGTCTGTTTGATTTGCTTTGTAACTGATGTTAAAGTACTGGCAGATGCTTGGTGAGCACAGTTTCTGTTTGATCTCTGCCAAGGCATTCTTTCTCAGTGACCTGCTTGAGCTTCTTCAGCAGTAGTTATTTGGCTCTTCCCCCTTGGCAAAATTACCTCTTCTGGTTATTGTCTCATTTAGGGTTTCTTGGTCTTCCTAATTTCCAAACTCGGATATGTTATCCCAAATGCACTTTAAATTCATGTGTTTGCAATATGCTTTTCAAGTCTTTTGGTGTATTGTATTACACTTGAGAACTTCTGTCACTGAATTTGCAGTTCTCTTTCCCTACTTCTTGCTCCTTCAGGATGCTATTGAGGGGTTGATTGGCCTGCAGGTGTCCAGAGGTGGTCAGTGCTAAATCACATCTACCTTAAGCCTGTCTTCAAATGGCTAATAACCAAATCTTTAAGGAAGTAATCTTAAGCTGATACTTCAACAATAAACTTTCCTTCCAGTGACATGTGGCTTAGAAATCTTGAGACATTTCTTCTCTTTTAACCATAGGTGGACAAAGGGCTGTCTTAGTAGGGCAGGAGGTGGACAAGAGAGGAGAAAGGAAGAGACTCTTAGAACTTTTGGCATCACATAAGCCATTCACTGTATTTTCTGGCAGTATGCTTGGTCATTAACTGTGTGTTCTTTTTATGGCAAGGTACCTGTGTTTAGTTTTGAACTTGATGCCAGAAGTAAGACCTCCTTTGGAACACTGCTTCATGCAGAAATTGTGTCTTACATGACTGGTGTTGTACCTGGTCCACAAGCTTGTTTTGTCTTGAGTTAAGGTTCTTGTGATAAATGCATAAGATGAGTGAATATATGAATGAATGAAGCCTTTTAGAAAAGATGTAAAAAATGGAAAGGGTTGTGATGTCTCAAAGAAAATCTTATGACTTCAGTGTTGCTCCTGTAGTTCATGGGAATTAAGATTTTGGCAATGCCCTTGTTCTGCTTCACTTACATAGTCTCCTTTCTCTCTCCTTCTGCCCCTTGTCATGTTGGGTTTTTCTGCTTATCTTCTTTTTCCTGAATCATTCTTTTCAGTTTGTCCCTCTGGAATACTGCCTACCACAGAATTTCACTGGTGGTTTAGTACTTTGATTTGCATTGTACATTTGCTGCAGACAAATGAACAGGTTTGTGGGGTACGTAAAAGCATTCTGCTTATGTAGCAGGCAGGAATTTGGAGCAACACTCCTCTTCATTTTGTATGCTGAACTATTGTTTGCTGGTGAAATCAATTCCACATATGCCTCTATTAGGCAATCCCACTGCAAAGGGTGTGAGCAAATTAAGTGCATTTGTAGCCAAGCTTTTCTCTTCATCACTTACAGACTAGTAATTCAAGTTGAGCAAGTTCTTGTCCACACTATCACGTGCTGTCTGTTTTTCTGAATCCAGATGTGATAGAAAGCAGTGAAATAATGACACTTTAAAAAGAGGCTTTTAAAGTAATTTTTCATTGCTTGTTAGATTTTTGAAAATATTCATTTACACTGCTCTGTTAGTGCAGACAACTGTTCTAATACAATAAATGAAAAATAAAACTGATTCTGTAATTTTGAATTAACATATTTGATGACAGAGGGGAAGGGGGAAAATTCCACTGGGAAGGGAGGGGGAGACAGAGAACTGACCTGTGTCTTGTAAGGAGTGTTTACACCTTGACTTGGAATATAGAAAAAGAAGTGCAGATAGCTATTTTATTTGAATCATGGACTTGCCAATTAGCCATCAAGTGCTTCCATCTGTGAAATAGTTGATCAGATGGGTTAGCTGGGATGTTTCCAGATTAGGGCATTGTAAATGGCACTTGAAAACTGTCACTTTGATTAGGAGGTTTCAAATACTGCACTGCTTGGTGCTGTGGAACCTTTTTCCCCTCATAGGATCTTGGGTTTTTTAGAACATGCTTTTCCTGTTTAGTAAATCTGTGGCACCATTGGAACTTGGGAGACCTGCTGCTGATCTAAAGTTCTGCTTTGTGTGCTAATCTAGTCAGGGTGGTTGTTGGAGGACAGCACAGTGCATTCTTTTGTGGGGCTTCCAAAGAGGAGTTGATGGTCTGGCAGACAGAGGAGGGTCAGGCTCTGTGTAGATCATCCCCAATTAACAATTAGATGCAAATTTCCTTGAGTTACTTCATTAAGCTGATGTGTCATTTGAGTACATGACTTTTTCTTGCATCTTACATCTTTCGTATGTAAACAAAAACATCCACCGACAATAAAAAACCTCAAACCCAAAACAAACCCAGACACCCCCATCCTTCCTCTCCAAAAAAACCCAAAACAATAAAACAACCCAAAACCACGCCAACAACCCAAACAGGAAAAATTGCAGCACCTTACCATCTTACTGAAAATTATTTTGGTTCATTGATTCTTGAAACAGCTTGTGTTTTAATTTAAAGGGTGTAAATGTGTTGTCTTTAATTAAGTACCTTTTTCATTGTAAAGCTGTAGAGTGTCTGGTATCTCAGTATCTGTTTAGCTATATGACTTTCTCCTTTCTGTGTCTCCTGGGTGGTTTATGTGGTTTGAATTGTGGTGGTACACTGTTGTCTGCTTCTCATAAGTATTTGAAGCTTCAGATACACCTTTGGAGAATATTTTGCCAGGGGAATAAGTCTGAATTATAGCTCGTAAAATTGTGCATCATTTCTGTGCCATTGCTTCTGAGACATTTTCCAGCAAAGTTCTCAAGTATGAAGAATGTTACTATTTCTGGAACTCAAATGTAATTCCCAGTAGATGAGACGGTGTACAATTTGGATGGGTTATTCCAGTTCTACTTTTTTCCCCTGAAAGCTCTCAACCCATTTAAGGAATAAAAAAATTTTGTCAATGACAAACAT